AGCTCAAATGAAGTGTGAATGATGTGCAATTTGTTGCGCTGCTCGTCTGTGGTGCCTCCACTGTCTCATTTGGGTGGCAAGCTAGCAGGTGAGTCCGCAGATTTCTACTGCGTAGTAGAGCACAAAATATTTCCACACACTGCTTCTCAGATGCTGCAGTGTTGCAATTGTCCACTCTGAAGCACAAGAGACTCCTTTCACCTAATAACATTACTAGCTGCTTAGTTTACTGATGGGCCACGCCATAAACACCTGTAATGGCACTGGATGAAACACGAAAGCTGAGACATTTCACTCAAAACATCATCAAAAACCTCATGGCGGTTCTACAGGAAAAAGTCAGGTGATAATCAACATCAGTAGGATTCATTGTCCTGGCACCATGAACATCTGTACCAAATTTCATGGCAATCTATTCAATGAATTTTGAGATATTTCAGTATGAAGCAAAGTGGTGGACTGACAAACACTGCCACCCATACAGGTACACCATTAGCGTGACCAGAAAACAAAAAAAGCCCTTAGCAATTCACACTGCTTTAATGCGCTTTATGCTTTAATGTTTATTTGAAAAGGGCTGCACTTCCAGTTTTAATTAAATAACATCCAGCTCTTTTTCCCTTTGAGTATATTTATTTTCAGTCGTTTTGGACAAAAGCATCAGCTAAATGAATTCAATGTGACGTAACACGGCCAGTTGTGTTCACTGAGCTGCACACCCAAGCTGAAGGTGTCTGTGCTGAATCCTGCCTCTTTGCTGCAGTAGAAAGAAACTCTACCCCTGTGCTTTGCCTGTCAGCTTCACCTAACTGCTACCAACTGTGAGTAACACCCTGCACATCTTCACTTGCTCCGTGTATCCTCTGACACCACTTTCAGTCTGAGGCCCTAAAATATGTATCAGACACTGAGCTAACTCATGGATTCAAAAAGTGAATCTGTCCTGACGGAAAAACACCTCATAAATGTCTAAATCTACAGCACACAGTCTGTATCAAACACTGAGGAACAAGAAGGAACATTCAAGTCCTTTTCACCCTTCAAACCCTGATGTGATATGTTGACTTTTAGTCAAAGGGTGTAATCCTTTTATTCAAAAAGTCCCCAACAAAAACGCTCAGTTATAGACACCATATGCACTTTGTTCTCTGGCTGCAGAGGTGCCGGGTAAAAACGATCCCAGAGGAAGTGAACATAAAAGCCTTCTCTCACACCTCCCATTCACTTAGATCTGGTATGATGACAACAAACAAACCCTAAATCCCATTTTGATGACCACACCCAACATCACAAATGAAAGTATGAAAATAAGGCATAGCAAGTCCGGTCCTGTATCAGGATCTACAGCTGCTGACCCCAGTTTGTGCAGAGCTAGTGGGTGTGAAGAACATTTGCTGTGTGGTCAGTGGGTAAAGGTTCAACTCCATTTTTTGCACTTTCATGCTCCTTTAATGCGAAACACAGATTGGCACATGGATTACAGGAGATTAAAGAAGAACTGTAATAGACAAAAGGTGCAGGTCTAGCCGCTGTCAGCAGACTGCAGCAGTTCAACAGCTGAAAACAATCAATAGCATCAAACGATATTCCACAGTCTACCTACACTGGTTTCACTAAACCGATGCCAGGAGCCAAACACGAGGCTGTTCTGCTTACAGAGCTGACAAATGGTGTTAAAGTTGTTACAAAGCTGCCAAAGTCATGCCTCATTTTCATGTTTTGTATGACGGTAAAAGCCCTGCTTCCTCTTTCAAATGCAACCTGACACTGAATTCAAACATCTGACAGCATTAACAATGGGTTCGGAGTTTGATCTGTGCTGTTCCTCAGGTTCTGTAAGCCTCAACTCTTGATCCTTCCTCCTCATGATTATTAGTGACATCAGCGGACTGGCAGCTGATCAGTTCACCTTGACTATGTAAGGACTGAGGAGCTGCATGTGGTCAAATTGTTTAAATGATTTGATTTGTAGTGGTTAGAGCCTGCCAAGAAGCCCTGCGGGGGAGAGCTGCCATTTTGTTTTAACCCCTTTTTCTCCTGTTTTTGAGACGGTTGGGGAGGTCAGTGTTGTGACCTTTTTCTTTTGTGTTAGTTTCAGAATTGTGGTTTTTGTTCTAAGTAGGGTCATTGTGTTCCAGAAGAATGCTTTCCAACACCCACTGAGGAATCAAAAGTGGCCACATGCACATAAATACAGTTAACTAGCCACTTATTTTGTGAGCACTGATGTGTGCCTGTGATTGTGGACATAACTCAAAGCTTACTGTGGCTGCACTTGAAATATTGGTATCTTACTGTTTTCACATGGATTTCTAACTGTATAAATATTCAGTGCAACATCTTGAAAGAGGCTCTTGCTCCTTGATCCATAATTAGTGACACACATTTTGACACTGTGTATTGATGTTTTAAATAGCACTGTAGCCGTGCTGAAAATATCTCACAGTGATCTGATGTTGTCAATATTTGACCCATTATCCAGTCAAGTAAGAAAAAAAACATAGGCATCAAGACTAAATGAGAAGTATTAACACTGTTTTTTATCAGTTTGAGTGTCTTTGTTCTGTCTGTTTTGAGCTCATTGACATGAAGGAGGTGGACAGTAAAAACCAATACATGTCAACAGCATCACAAACTAAAGCTTTTTCAAAACGATTGCCGCCGCTGCAATGTCATGAATCACACAAGTCTGCAGAGGGATTTTAATTTGAAACAACGGATACAGGAAGTGGAGACATGTGGCGACACCTGGCTGAGGTAAGAGGGAGAGAGGGAGAGGGAGAGAGAGAGAGAGAGAAGAACAAATGGTTCATCATACTGGAAGTATTGCCCCTAGCATCAGCCACACGTGTTGCACAATGCTTGCACACAGTTTGCCGTATTTACCCCCCTCTCTCTCCCCCCCCATCATTGTCATAGATGACACTTAATCCGTAATGCTCCCCATACAGCAGACTGAAACGCTGGCAGATCCATTAAAAATATGCATGAAGATGACACCTGCTTAGATGGTGCAAGGTTTTATTATTCTTGCCCAACAGTTTTGCACACGTAGGCCTAAAGGGTGTAGATGTGTCATGTTTTAGCCGTTTTGTATTTGATGAGGAAAATAAATCCTGAAGATGTGTTTACAATTTATACACAATTTTATATTCAGGGAAGCAAAAGTCGAGTCACAGATCACCTTAAAACAGATCACCTGTGGCTAATACTCTGGTGTCTGCAGCTGAGAGAAGCACTGTGTTCTGTGCAGTGTAGCCCCGCCTCCCACCTTGTTCCCTATAACTGAATCATCGGGAATCGAATAGATTCTGTACTTTGTGTTTAAAATCAAATAGAAGCTCAAGATCAACATCAATATCCAGTGTCCTTTGAATCAGTTCGTTAAAGCGATGTTTACAGATTTTTCATTTGGATGAAAGAGCAATGGCATCAATAAGTACAAGGTATTGGCCAACGCCCCAGGTTTGTGTATGGGAATCAGTAATGGGAGAAAAACAATGTCGGTTAAATGCATCACTACTCAAAAGTTTAAAAGCCAGAGCCAATGTTTAGCCATCAGTGTAGCAACAGGAGGAAGCAGAGAAAAACAGATGCCAATAATAGTTTTGAGAAACAGTCTGGAGTAGACGTTAAGAAACACTCAAGGTCTCAACTCCACCTGGGAACCACAACACACTCTGCCAGCTTTCTCTGGTCACAGCGGCCATCCACCAAACAGCAGGATGTATCAAACAATACAGCTGTCGGCCTTGATCCACTCCACAGTTTTTCTCTCTTTAGATTACTCGCCTTAAGCAAAAGCCTCTTCATTCACCTTTTTTCACCCTCTCCCTTGTTGCGCCAAATGAGAATCAGATGTTTCGCAGAGGAAGGACGGACCCCCGCCCATCCTGCTTTGCTGGGGAGGTGGGACAGCATCTGTGTAAGGCGCGCACATTGACAGGAAGTTTAACATTCTTCCCAACTTCCATCACACTGGCCGGCAGCTGAGGCAGGAACCTGGCAATGACTTTTCATGAGTGTAAACCAAGCGCTGGGCCTGCTCCATTAAAAGCACACACTCGCAGTTATAAATAAGTAGCAGTTGACATTACCTCTGGAAATTAATGCAGATGGATTTATTTTATCACCTGCTCTTGGCTTGGCTCCTACACTGTAAGGAATTTCTACAGTTTGCCCATGAGGCTTAAAAATTTAGGGCCAAGGCTCAGAAGACATCCTCTGGTGCTGCCCTATAGCCACCCCGTCAAAAGCATGACTTGCCTAAACAAAGACAAGGCCCCTTTCACCCCGCAAATTCCTTGACAACTGCTGCAAGCTTCCTGCTGGCATTTGATATGCTCCATTTCATTCCCATGACCAAACTCCAGTCATGCTGAGGCTTTCGCTGAGCAGTTGAAGGCTCGTCTCACTGACACTCTGAAGCTTTCTCTGTATTCTGATGTGAAACTTCTCCTGCTGTCTGAACTAGCGAGAGTGTCACAGTGAGTCAAAAGTGATTTACATTTATTTTTGCTTTCCATGCCTCAAATGTTTCAGTAGAGAAGGCTGTGCGTCTTACTGCAAATGACAAGGGAAGACAATGAGGAGCCACTGTGGGATATCACGTATAATTAGTTTTAACCTTTAGCGGCTGGGATGCAACCTTTTCTTGGGCTTTCTGCGATTTCTTCTTTTGGTTTGTTTTCATTGCAATCTGCATAAAACCTTGTGAAAGCTGTGTGGTCATTTGGAGTAAAAAAGGACTGCAGCGATAGTCAGCTGTTTAAGGTCAAATAGAAAGCAGTGCCATCATCAGAAAAATGAGAGATTCCTGCCTTTCACTTAGCCGGGACATATTTACCCATCCTGTCCTGCAATTTGAACCAGTGACCTTGTCATCACCACCACACTCCTCCTGATGTATGTCTTGACTGGCATCCTATCTATATGAAACCAGAACAAACCCCCTACCCCCACCCTTCCTCTTTGTCTCTGTAGTGGTGGGATAAACTCACCAAGCTGACTCTGTTTCTCCCAGCATTTGGTTGCCAGGTTGGACAGTTCCCGGTATTTCTCCGCCAGCTGGAGTTTGCCGTTGTTAAGGCGGGGTCGTTGGGCAAGGCTCTCCTCGGCCAAGCTCCGGTTGGAGGTCATCAACGTCTCCCTGTCCACTTGAAGGTCCTGAAACTGAACACAAGTACAAAGTCAAAAAAGTAATTTCTTTCTGTTGATGAAAATTCAGTTTCATTAGTTTATCGTGCATGTGATACAGCTGGGTAGTTGCGTATGTTGTTGTGCTAAATTGTGACCTGGACATTAGAAAGTCCTGTAACATGCACGTGGACTAGGCAGACTTTTATTTTGGAGGGAATATGTTCAATATTAATCCAATAGTCTTTTTTGAGCAAATATATTTAAATAATTTCTGTTTCAGCTTCTCAAATATAACTGCAGGAGAGAAAAGTTTTTTTTGGACAAAAAAAGACATTAAAGACGTCATTTTGGTCTGTGGGACATAATGACATAATTTTCTTCAGCTACTTTGAGCTCTTTGGGAACCACAATAGAAATTCTTCTTTTTCACAGACTTAACACACACACACACACACACGTGTATATATGATGTAAAATTAATCCGAACAAGTGTAAAGTTAACGTTATCAGTTCATCAGAAGAGAAGTTTGCGAACATGTGTGTAGCACGGGACTGCAGAGTAGCTTGCAACGCGACAGTTTACTGTTCAGACCATGTTTGCTAGTGTGGTGCATTCAGTGACTCTGTTCATGGTGTTAAACATGAAGAGAGAGTATTTAACTGTCGGCTTTGTATTCAACAACAGGAAAGTTGTGATGGTGCCTTACGATAAGTTGCTGAAAGTCCCTGTGGTTCTTGTGCCCTTTACAACACAACACAGGGTTACACCCACTACAGCTGCATGAGTTCATACAGTCTGAATCGAGCCAGAGCTAAGAGGGAATCACGGCTAAATGAGTTTTCGGTGTTTAAAAGCCACTTAGCAGACTGCTTTATCTTCTACTGCTGACAGAAGAAAAAGATTAGAACGATTAATCAATTAACGAAATAGCTGCAAATTCATTTTCTGTTGACTGACTGATTAATCGACTAAAGACACAATTGCAGATTACAAGTACATTGAATGGCTCCTGCTGAAAAAAGATAAATATCTTCAAATACGGGTTCAATATAATCGGATTGTTACTTAAAAGGTGTAAAATAGAAAAGTCATTTCTGGTAAAAAAAAAAAAAAAAGGTCACAATTCTGACCTTTTATGGCTTCAATACATTGTTAGATGTAGGCGCCATGCTGGTTGGGGTACGTGTATAAGGGGGGAGAGGTGGGGAGTGTCACATGGACCATAACAAAACCATACATTATTAAAAATGAATGCCACTTCCTTCAAGTGTTGCCAGACAGTGCTGTCATGGCTTCACTGTAAAGAAGCGGTTCACTATCTCATCCTCGGACACAATGTCACTTTGTGAGCTCCACACTGTAAAAGTCTGAATCCTCTCCGACTACTCCATCAGTCTCAGCATTCCTGTGATTCTGCCCAGCCGGATACATTTCTTGCTCAACTGCTTTCTTTCAACAGTCAGTTACTCTGAGCCTGAAGGCCATTTCATTGAATTCAGTGTTGTACGGTGCATCTGTCTCACATTTTACGGGTCATCAAAAGGGATGTTTGAGTCCCAAGTTCAGAGGAATTTGCAGAATGTGCCCTGTAGTCAGGCAAAGGGCTGTGCAAGTGCAGAAAGAGATACTACAGATCAGCTGTTCATTCAAAGAATGAAGATAACACAGCTCGTTTAAGGCTTACGGCCAAGTCATCCGTCCAGTTTCCTTAAACAGGAATCAAAATGGACAGTCCATTTCCTGCTTTGGCTAGTCCGATCATCAAACAACTGCTGCAGTCTTTGGGGAATGAATGTTTTCTTTTTGTGTTTAGATGCATTGGCTGTAAAGCAGGGCTGATTGTGTTTACCATCCCCAACAAATGACACTTAAGGAGGACTGAGGTTCTGCTGTGGAGAGGACGAGGAGCAGCACTGTTGTTTTCTGTGGTTCAACATGTCTGACCACATGAAATGCAGTAAATAGGTGTTTCTCTTTTATCTTAAATGAGGCCCAGGCCTAATGAGGCTTCTGCAGACCGAAGGCATCAATTTAACAGTCAGTCTGAGATGAAATTGATGGGGTGCAAAGTCTTTTCCATGAAAGAGAATCCTTCATGTAATATAGGGCCTCCACTGAAATGAAGGGATATGTACTGTAAGTGTCTAGTGGATGGCCAGCTCCATAACTCTCTCCTTGCATCATTTGGGGTGATTTTAAAGAGGCTATGATGAATATTTTCATAACCATGTACCAAATGACCATGTGCACTGTGAATGGGGTCGCGTGTGGCGTGAATGATCACCACCGGACTCTGCAGTTCCTCTCAGCTCCACAGAGCTTTTTAGCAATTAATTTCCAGCACATTGTTTTTGATTTTCCAGATGGCAAATTTACTGTTCTGGTTCAACAGTTTAACCTGCTCAGCACCAAACAGCAGACAGACACACAGTTAGAGACAAGCTGCTGAACATATGAAGCATTTAGCAGCTAAAGAGTCAGATGATTCCCTCAGGAGTTGGTGGAGACCAAAAACAAGGGTTTAAAGAAAAGGTATAGCCAAGTTACATTAATCAGATGTTCTGAAACATGACTCTAAGGGCTACGTCCACACCACTATGTTTTTTAAAACGCATCTCTTTTGCCTGTTTTCGCCTCCTGTCTAAACTACTCCGGCGTTTTCAAGCCCCAGAGACCTTTGGAAACGCTGCTGGCCTCGTTTTAGTTTCAAAACTAAAGGGTTGTGTTGTAGTCAGTACAGGCGGAAAAACTCAGACCTTTGGAAACAATGACGTAGACACCCATGTTCGCTCCCTGGTTGGGTCTCAGGGGAATCAGGGAGCCAATGGTGAATACAACACATAATGAAATACAAGCATTGCTGACCTTGTCTTCTTTGCTAGCAGCTGTTGAGTTAAATTCTCCATTTTAAAGCTACAACTGTCTTTGCTGCTCCTGGATCGTAGCAGTTTTCTGCAACTAATCAACTGCAGATTAGACAATCTGCTTCCTGTTTACACCGGCATCCGCATGCCCAGTGTATGTGATTGGTCATGTATGTATGCATTTTCAGGTGCGATAGTACGGACGGAGATTGTTTTTGATACGGAGCTAAAGCACTCATCTGGACGGAGATTGCTTTCGTTTGAAAACGCCATTTTAAAATGAAAATGTCATAGTGTGGACGTAGCCTAAATGAATGAAAATGTTACTCCATATCTACAGGATGTGAAGTTTACCATATTAATGTAAGATATTAACGTCAAATATTGCCATCGAGCCATACAAGAACTTAGCCTCAAAAGACAATATGCTGATTTAAATTCAAGCCCATGTGATGAAGACTTAGTAAACAACACTATGAATCTGAAAACTCTTTCAATGCCAGCTTTCAGTAATCGACAGTTTTCAATACATGTTGCTGCAGACACTTTTAGGTCTGCACCAAAAATATACTGAGGTTTGATACCCAGCTCTACCGTGGAAGTGCTTCATGTTCATTCTGCTTTCTACCCAATCTCATTTTGTTGTTGTGATTCTGAGAACCACCTAAGCCTCAGCAAAGCACTGCAGCTGCAGTGCATTTGAGGTCACAATGAGTCTTTTCTCCTTTGTTCCTGTCTCATAGATTTCTACCTGTAAACTGGTTTTACCTCAGAGGATTCTTAAAGACATTTATCTACAAATTCACACAACTCTAGGAACGAAGAAACTCCTGTAGCACTGAAAACAAAACCTGATGTTTCAGATCATTGTAGTTAAAATACTCATGACCTGACATGTAGCTTCTTCTGTGGACAGTTATTAATGAGGCTGCAGCATTCATGATTGTGAATCACCATAAATGATTAAACTCTGGTTTACGTAACATTCATCATTTACATGAGATTAATGAGCCCAGAGCTCATATGGCGATGAAAGAAGGGTTGTGAAGTCATCAGTTTGTACAGCCACGACAACATATGCTTCATGTTTTGATATATTCTGTCTGCAGTAACGTAGAGTACATCGATGGGAGCAAAATGTCCAAGTTTCATATTATTACATTAAAGGGACCATGGGTGAATATTCACTGAAACACCCCTAAGCTCACTGGATTGTGGCTCTGAGTCACTCTGCTCGGCTCCCTGAGGGGAGCTGTATGACCTCTTAGTGAGATTCAACCACTTTGGCTCCATCGTCCTAATTCATTCACAGAGCCAGGTTTCAAATGTCACATCCTTCGCCAAGAAACGGGCAAATAAGTAATGCCTTTCTTTTGTTTCTATGCAAAAAAATCACACGACATCTCTCTTAACAAATCAAGGAAGAAGACTGTCGTTGAAGAGAGCAACGCAAAAGGTTAGTTCAACGGTTCTCAAAGTGGGGACCAGTTATTTAATTTTCTTAATATTTTCACTCCCTAGATGTTAGCGCAGTGTGAACATGTATGATGATGATCTGCCCACACTGGATTTGTTTCCCTGCACCCTCTGTTGCCATCACCCCACCCACAGCTATTAAAAAGCAATGCAATTCTATACAGACTACTGAATCCTGATTGAGAGAGTCATTTCTATTTGAGCACCCCCAAGGCAAACCTAATGAAAATGGGGCCCCTGAAAAAGTTTGGAAACCCCTGGCAGATCTCTCGTGTGAGAGAGAGAGAGAGAGAGAGAGAGAGAGAGAGAGAGAGAGAGAGAGAGAGAAAGAAAGGGGGGGATGATGTATATTGGTTGACGCCAGGAAGGTCATCATGTAGCTCCGAAACGTGCATCTCTGACACAGGGACTAATGCACGTGGAATTCCTTTAAAAAAATCTCGCAATTTTTATTTTCTGTGTTCCTATGCGAGCCAACACTCATGAAAGAAACTCACTTTAGATGTTTTCTAAAGCTCAGAAACCAATCTTCAATTCGGCATAAATCTAGTACAATAGGACGCAGCTCACTACAATAGAAGTGTGCTTTTATTTGGAAATGAACTACGCTCGCTAACGCCATTCAGAGCATCCTTAGAGGGAAGCAGGTCTGAGGACAACTAGTTGTAAAAGTTGCATTTTTATTCAAATGGGTGTTGCCAAATGTATTGAAGTAACGCCGAAATTAATAGTATGTTGTAAAAAGTCAAATGTTCTCTCAAGTCATCTTCTATCTCATGTACAGGTCTACAGACAGGTGAAGAAACTGCAATGCCGGATGTTTAAACGGAATTCGGCGCTAGGACTGAAACCACATAACGGCGCGTTTTGGGGTCTTCACCACAACGGTACGATGGTTCCTGCACAATAAGAACGGTTGTAGAGTAAAATAATCACTTATAAAGACCGCGAAAATTAATTTCTTTGTGTTTTTTTCTTCGGTCCAGTAACTAATAAATCACTGAAAATATTGGGAGCCCGGGGTTTACGGAAAAGAATTGGAAATCCGACCACTCGCCACGCAGACAATCGATGAGCCATGTAAAGCGGATTTGCGTTACACTCCACACATCAAACGTGATGAGCCTAAACACCTTAACGCTCATTCTTTTCAGCTACGACAAACAAACATACCGCTGGAAAACGACAGAACCACGTCGTTAAAGATGAAAGAAGATATTTAATACAGCCGTTAGCACAGCGCAAATTCCTCTAGGCACTTTGGCTCTTTGGGGAACAGAGGATACCCACCGTCTCATTGAGGCGAATAATTTGGTCCATTTTGTCGTCGTTCTGTAAAAGCTCCGTCAGCTCACTTGTATTCAGAGCCCTGTAGCCGTCGGGACAAGTGCTGGACTCCTTCAAGCTGGACATTTTATTCCTTCAAAATTGTGGCTGAAGACGGTTTGGAGACGTGCAGCCCGCACAGCGGTTACATCTCGCTCACATCGGAATGCGTTGCGATCTGCCCGCATGCAGCGTCAATCGCAGCAAACCGTTACACTTCCGGTCACCGCCTTCAAAATAAAACTCTTCTTCTTCTTCTTCTTCTTCTTCTTCTTCTTCTTCTTCTTCTTCTTCTTCTTCTTCTTCTTCATGCTGAATTGAAAGACTACTTATTCTGGATATGGAAATTGTGTATTTTTTAGTTTTTATACAAAGCTACAATGAGTCGAAATTCAAGCATTCACACAGGATATTATCACGAGCATGGCCGGATTAACGTGGTACCGTGCCCTAGGGGCAAAAACAGGCCACCTTTATTAACCCCCAGTCCTCTTCTCTTTACACTGCAAAATTAGTACTTCAATACTTAATCCCAATACTTGTCCCCAGGGTTGCTGTGTGGTAATTAGCTGATTAATCAATTAGTCAACTAACAAAGAAATAATCAGCAACTACTTTGTTAATGAATTAACTGTTATATTTAATCAGGCAAAAAAAAATTGTATGGATTTGCTGATTTTCTTTTGTTCTTATGTGACTGTAAATCTATGTTTGGATTGGTCCATGTTGGTCAGACAAAACAAACAATTTGATGACGTCACTTCAGGCTTTTGGAAATCGTGATAGGACTGTAACACATGTTACTGCCTCAGTAAGTACAATTAGTGAATGCAAGACTTTGAAGACATTTGGTGGCATCCAGCAGTGATCTGAATATGGTAAAGGGAGTGGTGTGCTGTTTTTATGTTTTGGTGGGCTAAACACAACTGTACATGATTCTATTTTATTCTATTTTAGAGTTAATACAGGTTCTATGCATTATTTCTATTTGACACAAAAGCTTATTGCTCATTTCACACCAGCTGTCAACAGGAGGCAGGATTTTTTTAAATCTCAAAATAAAGCCTTTAATGCATTAATACACATTTTTAGATTATGTTTTGTGACAGTTTTTTCTTTATATGTTTTAGAACTGGCTGATAACTGACTGTTGCCTGTCTGTTGTCTGTATCAAGGCGGCAACTTTAGCTTTAACCCGGCTTCCGGTTTTGCTATTTCAAAGTTAAAGTCCTCATGAAAAACTTAAGCTTTTCTTTACTGTAATTTTAGATGTTGAGAAACTCTTGCTCAGAGCAACAGGATACTCTTGAAAAGATCCACATCTTATTTAAGACAAAGTTCTTTTAAAGAACTTTGTCTTAAATAAGTTCTTTAAGTTCTTTTAAAGAACTTTGTCTTAAATAAGATATGGATTTAACAAATACCTTTCCTAAATGTGTGACTGAACAACACCTAATTTGTCGCTTGAATTATTCATAACAAAGTAATGTCAGTGCTTTACTTTAACCCCCCTAATTTGTCATTTATAAGCAGTACCTAAACACTGGATAAAGTGATCATAACCAAATATAATGTAGTCTTTGTCAACAGCTGTAACTCCTCCTGTGGACACCCATAAGTGGAGGTTTCTGTATAAACAGATAATGAATGAAAAATATAGTAAAACACAGCTGCAATATTATGAAATGTGTCTACATAGGAGATATTATCATCGTCTAATTGTGGTCACATTTGATTGTCATTTTACTGAAAGTGTTTGATCTGTTTTGTGCACAAATTTCCAAGGCTTCATCTATACTTTTTTGTGTACTTTTTGGCCAGCATCATCTCTTTCAGTTCACTAAACCCTAAACTGCGGCAGAGTCCCTGTATCCAAACCCACTTATATCCATTAAACGTCTCAGGACCAAGCGCAGCAGTGACTGATGACTGACAGCGTATTATTATGTGGTCTGTGTGAGGGATTATTAGATGTATGTAGGTCACCAAACTATTGGCTTAAGGCATTCTTCATAAATATGTCCAAGTGATTTTTTTTGTGCATTTTCTTCCCCTGTCTGAAATCTAATATTTGGACTCAGCATGGCCAGCCTGAGGCACTCGGAGGCTCCACAGAGCCATGCAGCCACCAGGGGGCCCCCAAGGAAACCGGTGTAAAAAAGAAAGTGAAAATTGATGGATGGAGATTAAAATAACTAAAACTGTGCTCAGGGACCTGAAAACACTGGAAGCACCAAATGAAGCTGAAAAATAACCACATGATATTTAGTCTGTAGATCAATCTATTTATGGCAGTGGTGCAAAGTCACTAAGGTTTACTCAAGTCATTTTTAGGTACTTTCATCCAACAGCTGTAGTTACTGGATACTTTTCATCTTGAGATTTTACAAGAAATATGTTAAACTTCTTAAATACGATGCATTATTAAAGATTAAACCAGTTGTTTCCTTTTCCTTTTGCCTCCTTAAAAAGTAAAATATGTAGTTGGAACCCTGTATCACATTTCTCTTTGTTATGAACTGTTAGCTCTACCAAAGAGGCATTTATGTTAGGGATTGCTTAAATGGCTTCATTTAAATAACATTTGTAACTGCATGTAGATATCAGGAAACTTATGCTTCTTTATTAATTTCTTATTTCTTGTATTAGAACTTTGCTTCATGTTTCTTCTTTCTTCACTTATTCATCATCATCATCAGACCCTTGGAGGGGCCAAATCCCTAGTTGGGAACGACTAAACTAAATATACACTCACTGAGCACTCTATTAGGGAACACCTGTGCACCTGCTTATTCATGCAATTATCCAATCAGCCAATCACGTCGCAGCTGCTCAGTGCATAAGATCCTGCAGATACAGGTCAGGAGCTTCAGTTAATGTTCACAGCAAATATCAGAATGTGGAAAAAATGTGATCTCAGTGATTTTTGAAGATGGAAACACCTTGTTGATGAGAGAGGTCAGAGGAGAACGTTCAGACTGACTGGTTGGAGCTGTAACTCAGATAACCACTCTTTACAACTGTGGTGAGCAGAAAAGCCTCTCAGAATGAACAACACGTCCAACCTTGAGGCGGATGAGCTGCAACAGCAGAAGACCACATCCATTCCACTGCTGTCAGCCAAGAACAGAAACCTGAGGCTGCAGCGGGCACAGACTCATTGAAACTGGACAGTGGAAGACTGGAAAAATATAGTCTGGTCTGATGGATCTGGATTTCTGCGGCGGCTCACAGACAGTAGGGTCAGAATTTGGCGTCAACAGCACGAATCCATGGACCCAAGCCTGCCTTGTGTCAACAGTCCAGGCTGCTGCTGGTGGTGTCATGGCGTTGGGAAGGTTTTCCTTTGTGGTGACAGTTCACCATCTTCTCATGGCTTCTTCTTGCATTATAATGCACCATGTCCGAAAGCAAAAGTCGTCTCAAACTGGTTTCATGAACATGACAATGAGCTCAGTGAACGTCAGTGATCACCATGATGTTTCACTCATAGGGGCCATTTTTTACGTGTAATGTATTTTACATTATTGTATTGGTACCTTTACTTAAACAGGATGTGAATACTTCAGCACTGATTTTATGTTATTAGAAGTCTCTCTTCCACGGACTGTGACTGCCTTTGACAGCGCTTTTGACTGTTGTGCTGTCAGGAAATGATCCCCAGTTTGGTTTCTGCCTACACGGCTGGCAGCAGGAGACCCACATCACCACTTCTGCTGACTGTTGCTGCAACTGTTGCCAGACGGAGGTTATGTGAATAAACTCTGGTTTCAGCGGACAAGGTGCTTGTTTACTTTTGTGGATTGAATAAATGTGTCGTGGACAAGTCAGCCATGAACAGAAAGTACTGCCTTTCTCACCAAACAATACATTATGGGAAGGTTTGGCAGTTATTGCAAACAGACCCCTCGTCTCCCAGAATATGTGAATTATCGTTTGAAGTGACTCTGCGACTCTCAAACTCTCTCAAACCACCTGGAGATCACATTTACCAATTTTATACTCTTAAATTCTTCATAACTCCAATGCAGGCCTTAATTAAATCTGCAGTTTGTTCCCATATGGTCTTGCCAATAACTCGAGACAAGAATCCTGTTTAGCATAATTTAGTAAAACACAAATGATTCTGACAAGGCTTAAAAAAGAACTGGCAATGAAAATGAATTTCTACCAACTAAAAGCAACAAGAGGCTAAAGAACAAGCAGAAAGCAAAACAAAAAAAGGCAATCGCATGAGGCAAATTACCCCCGAGAACAGAACATATGTTATTAACTGTAAAATAAAGGATATAAAAAAATGGTGTTTTTAAACGCTGACATGTTTTAAGTTGTTCTGGTCTTGAAAGATGCTTTTGCGTATTTAAAAATGTTTAGATTGGTTCAGAGAATTTTAGATGTGAAATTCACGTTAAAGAAGTTGTCCATTCACAAGAAATAAAAAATAAATAATAGGAAGACTATGGACTGTTTGGTTGTGATGTTAAATTAGAATAAAACCATTTCTTCCCTTTTTGAATCAGTGAAACTCTGATGCCAAGATGCTGAGCGGACAGACAGCAAGAGGCGTGTGTTTGTGCAGGAGGTGCAGAGTCAATAATGAGGAGCAAATCCACAGGAGATGGCACATTCTCCAAGTGTCTGGTGACAGGAGAGGAGGCATCCATCAGAGAGTCCCTTGACCTCTACAGTTCTCAGTGGGCATTCATTACACAAAAGCAAGGCTTATTTTATGCAAAAGCAATGTAACGCATATACCCATTCATAAATTTCCTTTATAATATTCAAATGTGATATTTAACTTTGTAAGCTGACATTTCACAAGTTTTTTTGTTTCTTTTGAGAAATTTATATTAAAGGATAAGGTGAATATTGGAGATAGACCAAAAACAACATATTAGCTTGTCTCTGTGCTTTCCAACTACCTGCAGAAATCAGCCCCAAGCCTGTTGGTAACTATGGAGGATTAATTCTGTCAAAAATATACACTGAGTTAAAGAAAAGGCAAAATAATCATTTGAAACAGCAGGATACTGCAATTTCAAGCAAATGGTGCTCAAACTGGAGTAAACGGTGCATTTGTTGGGAACTATTTTCAACCGCAGATTAATACACATTTGGCGCCCTATTGAGTATTTGGGG